CCTGCTGAAACATAATGCTTTCAGCCAGAATATCCTACTGTAAATCTGTAAAGTAGTTTATAGCTTAAAAATATAGGAGCTCAAGTGTAAAGCTTTGAAAATATAAAGTGCATAGTTGCAAACAAATTGATCTGTATAAAGAAACGCAGCACAAGTCAGAAAGCTGAAGAACTAAGACAATCAGTACAATTTCCTTTGTTGTTTCTTAACAACCAACAGACAGCTAATTGAAAGTATAATGTGTGCATGTTATCTGGCTGGATTGCATTACCTGATGTGTGAAACAACTGCAATCATCACTTAGCTTGTTGCCATATTTGTTTTGACAGCATCTGAACAAGTAAAAACAACATACAGTACATAAAGCCAACAATTAGGACTGCATTAAGCAGTAACAAAATAATAGAGTGACAAATTTGATTTCAAGACTTCAGGCACTAATGGAGTCGATAACTGTTGTTAGGAAAATGTCATAAATTCCAGAAAATAACTCATGATGCTGATAAGCATTGTGTGATCAGGAGGCTGTAGTCGGAAAGAGCCGATCGGCTCCGCGTTCCAAAATAAAAGAAAAACACACCCTGATAAATGCACACAAACTGAAATCCCCTCGTCTGTTTCCTCAGGAATGTGTGATCCAAGAGGTGTTTTGTAATATCAACAACTTCTAAGAAATAATATTACCTCTTGCCATATTCACCCCCCCCCCCCTTCTGGGCTTTCGATTCTTCCTCGTAGATTGAAAAAATTACAACAAAAGCTGCAAATGACTGTCCAATTTGAAAATCAGGGACAAAAGAACAAAAAAAAGAGCAAGAGATCTTATTGGTTTCTTTGACATCCTATCCTGCATACAGGTGCACGCACACACACACACACACACGGTTATGAAATATTAACACCTATGTAAAAAGACAAGCAAAGTAGTGGAGAGTATACATGTGTGTATGGTTTGAGGTGGGGATGGTTGAAATTTACCTGTTCTCCCTGCTAGAGGGAGGATAAGCATGTCAGATAGATGGATAGGGAAGGCAGCTGTTACACACACATGCACACATATCCCCCACAGCATCAGTTTAACCCCAAGGGGATTAGGAACACCTGTATTCAGAACAGCACAATGAGCTATAGATGCAGTTAGGCTAAAAAGCCTTGGGAGTTCATAGGGGATGGGGGGGGCGGAGCTGTTCTGGATCGGGGGGTTAATGTGTACCAAGCCATCTTGACACAATCAGATGTGAGAATGATAATATTCACGACGTGACAGATAGAAGACGGAGTTGTTAGAAAACTCCAGAGAGACGCAGCATGTCCTGTTAGATGTGTACATGCAGGAGTAAGTGGTTCATTTTGCAGTGTCGGCCAAACAGGTGTTCCCATTAACAAGTGAGCTCCGAGGGGGGATCGGGACGAGAAAACTGGCGGAAAGAGACCAAGACAGGGAGATGAATGGAGCAGCCTACGAGGTTGCTCACATGAAGCAAATGTGTCTTTATGGAGCGTTTACCCTCTTTTCTCCATTTCTGGAGAATGTACAGTAAATGCACTGCTCGATTTATTGTCACGCTGTTTACATAAACACACACACACACACACTCTTGTAAGGGGGGCAGCACACTACATCTGCAGGGTTAGACGAAGTCGACTAACCTGCTACCACACAGTTCAGCCCACAACCTGCATGGGAGCACTGAGGACCACCTACACACCAGCAGGCTTTCACACACAGAACCAGCAAAGAGGCAAGTGTCACAAGCTCCAAGCTCCTGAATACCACCCAACCCGAGGCCCCTTTGTCTTATTTTCTCAGCCTCTTTTCACACCTTACCCCACTTTCCTGTTTCCTACATGACCATGAAAAACCTAAAGGTAAATTTAACATACTTATCTTGTTTAATCAACTCTACAAGATCCATTCATGAGATATAACACAAACGGAAAGTGCTTCAACTTCTTCTTTGCAATCCCACAAGCACACGTGCAGCTAATAATTTTTCCATCTTTTTGCAGATCTCGCCTATTCCTCCTCCACTCATCCTTGTAGCTGTTGTCTTGGTCTGTATTACATTTTCCCCGTGGAACACAAACATGGAGAAGGTGCAGACACACACACACACGCGCGCGCGCAAACATGCATGTCAGCTGCTCTAATGGCAAAACTACACAGTCCTGTCTCAGAGAGCCAACCTCAGTGAGGCACGGGGACAAACCCAAAGACACAAAACAGTCTTGGAGGTGATCTGTGCCAAGATGACCGTGTGGCTAGCAAGTTTGTGTTGTGATGCCATGACAGCTGAGGCTTGTCAACATTAAATCAAACAGTTCAGCTTTCTCCTGCTCATGAGGACTCAGATTAAATGTGCACAGGCACACACACACACACACACACTAGGGATGTTGCTGCTGCCTGTCTGACAACTTGACATGACTCTGTCTACCAATGTAACAAGGACATTCTTCTTCTGTCAACAAAACAACCTCACAAATCCAGTGAGGCCTAAGACAATTTGGAAAAATGTCTAGATGGTCTCTTAATCCCAAGATTCAGTTATCTGATGTCAAACAGAGGAAAATACTTCGATCCAACTGGCTGTACACATTGTTACAGTCTTCAACTGAGAGGGTGCACTTTAAACTTAAGTGTAACACGACTTGCCTTTACTGTGAAAAACACAAATAACACATTTATTTGAATAAAGCAGGTCCCAAACTGAGAGTCAGGGGATCTCCTCCAAATTGTATAGAGGTCTAACTGAGTTAAAGTTGAGCTAAAGCCCTGGGTAGGAGCATGCCATTTCAGCTGATGACTTAATGTCCCTTTGCTATCATCTAATCAGCAACAACAGGTCTGACCAGGCTTCACATCAGGTGTAACAACATTTTCAGAGAAAAAAAAACCCAAGTGTTAATCAGAGCTTGACTCACATTGTAACAAAGTTTGAAAACCCCCCAATCCAAAGATAAGGACTCGCTGAGGAGTGACAGTTATGATCTCTGTCGCTTTTACAGATCATTTGCTGAGGACTCACCTGGCTGCAGGCTGTGCACGACAGCCAAGCGCATATTGCTGTCTAGAGCGTGAATGAAGTGGGGTTGTTCCCCTCTCACATGGTAAGCATGGTAGAAAATGGAGGAAGACGGAACTGACCGGTTTTGAGAGGGCAGACACAGAAACACGACACAGGAGACAGACAGAGAAGCAGCGAGCCCCAGTCGCAAATAATCAGAAAACACTTGACACCACACTTTTCAACTCTCTCCACGGATCAGATGATGATCAGCAGTACCTCATCATTCACAAAAATTACCCGCGAGCACCATCTGCAAACAAAATCCCCCCCGTCTTGTCTGGTATTCTAGGGTTGGGTGTTGACGCAGCAGAAATTTCCAGCTGGAGAAATCCCCCTTTAGGAGGTTAATCGAGGGGAGAAGGCGGAGGGTTTAAACCCTTGTCCTCCGGGATCTGAGCGCTTTGAGTCCCGTCCAGACGCCTGCACGGAGCATCACCCTTATTGTTTGAGGCACGATATGTGTGCATGACAATTTCACTCCAGCCTCCGTTGCAATAGGTTGTCATGCTGTTCAAACTTTGCAAATTTCACCAGGATCCGCTGGTTTTGTCAAACTCTATCAGCTGTGGGTACACCCAGCATGTGTCTGCAAGTGTCACATAATCCACCTGAGCATATGTTAGGAGATATTTCCAAATGTACAGCTGACAGAAAAGGAAGTCGTGCAGGTATTCATTCAATATAACATTATGCAAACTGGGGATATTTTCTCCCCTGTGCGCCGTTAACAGCATAGCCTACCATTTAAAAGTATTTCCAGTTGTCAGTTTAATCCACTAAATGTGTAATTATTTCCATTCTAGAGCAGTCTATCTAAAACACATGTTCAGACACATTATAAAGTAGATATGAATCGGATTTTTTTCTCCACTGTCACTGTCTGTGTTCCATAATAATCTACATAATGTGCGAAATGTACAATGTGTGAATCCCGTCAACGAATGACAGCTTCTCCAAATATCAACAAGCGCAATAGACAGCTGGCTGTCACGTATGGAACAGGTAGGCGTACTTTCAGACTGTCGCCTGCTCACTCGGTCGGCTATTTAGCTGTCAAGATACACTCACGCTGTGGCGAACATGATGCCAATGGACTGGAATTTAAAAAACCTGCAGAAAAATACAGACAGGCCTTAATACACCAGCTTTCCGTTGGCCAACTATAAGAGTGGGAAGAGTTGCATTGTGTCATGTCTCCAACCTGTGCGCCCACCAACTATCACTTGTAACGCGATGGCTCCTTGTGGCAGAAAACTAATTGTTGACATGGCATAAGGCATGGAAATCCTGCGATATCTGCCACGTCTGGATGAAGACTCAAACCTGTTGGCAGGGGAGTGGAGCTAAACGCAGTTAAAACGGTTATTACTAATATAAGGAAGTCAGACATACCTGTTACCCCATGGGGTCTGGGGTGGACGCGGTGTAGGTCCTTCGGAGTCTAATCTGATGTGACAGCCCGGGAGAAGAAAGGAGGGGATGTCCAACGCACTAGGTACGGTCCTTCCTCTCCTCTATATGCTTTCTTTAAGTGTTAATTCACCCTGTTTTCTCCCACTCCCCGCTCTTCTTCCTTCACCAGCCCCGTTCTCTCTTTCACTCCCCTGCTTTTCCGTGTAGCCTCCTCCTCCTCCTCCTCCTCGGTGCATGTCTCTCTCTCTCTCTCCGTCTCTCTCTATCTCACTCTCCTTCTACACATACACCCTCTATCTCCATGTCCTCGTATCTCCTCTCTCTCTCTCTCTATCTCTATCTAGGCAGAGTCAGGAAATGAGACAACGTGAGCGCACACACTATATCCTGATCTAAGAGTCACTGTATCAGAAACACTGGCAAATACAACAACAGCAATGACAACAACAACAGCAACATTAACAACAATAATAATAATACGTAAGCAGCCGGGCTGTCAGTCCTGTATGGATCTGGGGCTTCTGGCTTGTGCGACTGTTGCCTTGGGGCTCAGTATTGACCAGGGGCTTGCTGGAACTTACCCCCTCTTGTGGCAACAACAAGAAACCACTCGTCAGTCTCAGCAAAAAGAAGACTTGATACTGTTCAGTTGGAAAATACCTTGAACCAACCATGTGATGTGCGGCATGCAGGCTAGTTTTTGGCAAAAACAAAAAGTCTGGGGTAATTCCACTTCAGCCTGACCTCTCCCTTTTACGCATGTTGGATTTTTCTTATTTCACTTTGTTTTAAACTGTGGGGGAAATTATGAGTGACATACGTTGTAACACTTATGCTATACAGTACAGCAGAGAGACAGATGTGGGTAGTGGTTTCCCAAATAGAAAGAAAACAGTACATGTATTATAATATATAGACTAGTAATTCCAGACAGAACATGACTGTACCTGCAGGTTTAGAATCAGAATCAACTTAAATTAGAAAAAATACCCAGACCGTGTACTTACTGTAGGTAAAAACACTGTGTTCCAAGTAAAATCACTGCATTGAAAATGTAAAAATGCTGAAATATTATCAGATAAATATATTTAAAGTGTCAGAAATAAAAGTATTCTGCAGAGAATTTGTCTAACAATTACAGTGTTAGACTGAAAATATTGATGGCTCAGTGGTTGTAGCTGCTCTAGGTTTATATATCTATTTATCTATAGACAGTGCAAGTAGTTTAGTGCAGTAGGTTTCAACCTGGGTTTCGGGCCCCTCTAAAGGGTCTCAAGGTAAACCAGTAGGGCCATGAGATCATTAATGGGTATCATTAATGAGACAGGAAAGAAAAAGGTGCTTCTGTATAAATTATATAGAGTGCTCTCTAATTTAGCCTTTTTTGTAATATATTTTGTAAAGGTTTGCCTCTTTGGGCCTCCATCAGTCTGACAGCGAAAATGTCTCGAGTTAATCTAACAATGTACAGACATCTGAAACGCAACAGAACCTCAGGTAAACGCTTCTTCATGTAAAGTGTCACAAACCAAAGAGGCTGGGAGCTGTTGGTTTAATCTGCATAGGTATAGTAAGTATAATCATATCATAACCTTATCATATTTTAAACTGAAAAGTAATGAGGAAATATAGCTACCAAATAAATGTAGATGAGTAAAACGTACAATATTTGCCTCTGATATGTGGTGAAGTAGAAGTATACAGTAGCACAAAACAGATTACATTAAAGCACAAGTACCTCACAACTGTACAATACTAATGTACTTGAGTTAATGTCTTTAGTTACTTTCCAGCACTGCAGTACTTATGTTGACACATACAAGACATTTGACTCGGGTTGTCAATAGCTCTCAGTGTGTTTCATCAAACTGAGCTGAAAACAAATGTACAGTAATAACTGAAGGTGAGTGACAGTGGTTTATAATACAGAACTTGTTTTTTCCTCAACTTCTACAGTGAAAAGAAATGTGAGTGTGCACAGTGCATGTGTGTCACTGTCAGTTTATATAGTCCACCCTGGTGTGTGAATGTCTATAGTAATGAGGAACTGTGTGCTTGTTTCTTAGGAAATAACTGCTGTGACCAGGAATTGTTGTAGTTTTTGAGGAAGTGGGAAAAGTTTATGGGGAAGAGAGCAGGCAGCACAGTAAAACATGTATTATACTGTGTGTGTGTGAAGAGAGGGTGATGTGTGACATGACACTGTAGGGGGTAGAGCTATGCCTCCATCAGTTTGGGTAGTTGGCTGCTGAGGACCGGATAATGGAGAATGTCAGGCCATGTGGATTAAGGCTGTAGGTCTGTAAAGCCCAGGCACAGATCTCTCTCTCTCTCTCTCTCTCTCTCTCTCTCTCTCTCTCTCACACACACACACTCTCTCTCTCTCTCTCTCTTTCTGAGTCAGGTCTGCAAACACAGTCCCTGCCTAAAACAAGCTGCTTTAGTCAAAGCTGTGCTCCCTCACACCAGTGTGCCCTTCCAGTCCCCCTGACATGACAAGCATGACCCTGGCCTCCCCCTACAATGACCCCACCCCTTTCTGCCCTCCTCTGACTGCTCATGGAAGGGTTTTAGGCATCATTAGGCCACTTACACATGTATTCAGTTCTAGGAACACTCATCATAGCAATCCACTCAGGAGGGAGAGTAGTGGTGGGAAGGGAGAGCGGCATTTCTGTACAACCATTTTGTGCTTCTGTATGTGTTTGTGCGTTTGTGTGTGGTACTTATGTTCAGAAAGTCCTTGAAGCACAAGGTGATGGGTTTGTTGTGGGCTTGTGTGTGTGTGTGTTTGCGCTGGAAAAAAAAAGGGGACAGTGTATCAGGCTAAATGGCTGCTTACTCAAAGGGACAGTGACTGTTCTAACTGTATTTTGTGTTTCCCAGCCAAATTTAACTTAAAAAAATGAAACTAAGCATATTGTTTTTTCTTTAAGCATCTGTGTCTGAGGCCAGGGAGAAGGCATTTAAAAACAGACACAGAGAAGAGAAACGCATACATCTTCGCTCGGCGCAGGAAGTGAGACCAAGCGCTTTTGTGCCAACTTGTATTTGCACCGCGACAAAGGGATAAGAAACGTAAACGGACTTTTGGAAAACTTTTTTGAAGTCAAGCATTAATTTGCTTCCCCACTGCGCTGCCCTGCTGAGGAATGCAGCGGCGTAATTGGTCACATTGAATTAAACAGCAAAAAAATCTACAACTGTCATAAAAATAGCACAAGGCGCTTTCAAAGCCCCATCCACTACCCTTCACTATCAATTTACCGAGGGGAACAGCTGTGTGGTGCTTGTGCCATCCTAGCCCTGCTTGTATAGAAAGCAGAGCCTGCGGCTGAAAGAACACTATCTCTACCAGGTGCAGGCAGGGGATGGGGGAAGGCTTTACAAAGGAATATTTGGCACAAGGTGTGAGACAACAATATGTGTGAAGGTGCAGCTTAGTGATACTCAAATCAGTATTGGGAAAACGACAAGGCTTTTATAAAGAGTCCTCCCTTGGAGAGAAAGAGCAAATTAAGAGAATGAGAGCCCGGTCCATTGATGGAAGGAAGAAAAAGAGGACAGAAAGGATCAAGGTGCAACAGGAAAGGAAGGAAAGATGGCATTAATGAAGGAGGAAAGGAAGCCAAAGAATGAGTACATTTTTCAAAGAAAGTGTAAATGAACAGATTACAATGAAGAATGACACCAGCAGAGGCAGAAAGAATCAAGGTTATTGGATTTAAAGGATGTAGAATCATCTGGAGGATACAGAGAATGTGTCTGTGCCCGCTGCCCACGCATTTTGTTCCTGTGTGATGGCAACATGCAGGAGGGCGCTGGGTCTGTTCACACCACTGCCTGTCCTTGTGTCACCCATAGGACTTCCTGTTCTCCCTAAAGTGCCAGGCCTTTGTGTCTATTGTATGTATATGATGGGAAGATGCCTCTGAACGGTGCCGCAGAGAGAGCACGGCCGTCACCCCTCTCGCCTTGGTGTTCTTTGATAAGAGTGACTCCTGGCTGACCTCGCTGTGTCCATCTGCATGTGGGGAGAAAACGTGTATTTTCCTCAGTTCAAGGCAGG